AACTTTTACATACTGTTAAATAAGAAAAACTTTATTCCACGCTTTTTACTTTATTAGGCAAACAAAAGGCTAATGAAAACGCGTGCGTTCAAATGGAAATGAAAACCCTATTTTAAATGTAAACAAAGTTTAAAAGGAGAACGATATTAATACACAAAAATTGCTTAAGCTTTAAATATGTTATCAGCTCAATTTTTTATCCTTGCAATAATTTTTTTCAAGGCATATGTGATGCCCCATAGACTGTGATGCCCAGGGCAAACTACTTTAATTGGCAATTGAATATTTATTTATATATAAAAAATTATAACTATAAGTATTACAAAAAAATTATAACTACAACTTTTTTTTTTTTTTTTTTTTGCATACCGTAAAATGAGGTGACTTTGGCTAATTTTAAAATCATTTTTCTTGCAAAATCTAATTTTGAATGATTAACCTGTTGATATAAGTTTTATTAAATGTGCATGATGCCAAAGAAATAAAATATGAAAATGAAAAAAAGTATATTCTTTTCCCATTTATTTTAATTTTTAAGATGGGTTAAAGTCACCATTATAGTGGTGGTGACTTTGGCTAAGATAATATCTCATAATTATTCATTAAGAAACTCATAACTATTGATTAATAAATCATATTTTACATACCACTGATATATGGATAATTAAATATATGTCTTTAAGACAAAAAAATGCTTAAAAAAATCTCGAGCTTGAAACATAATATTCATTCGACACTATACTTTATACTATACATGTAGTCATATATACTAAGTTTCCATGTTTATCAACAAATTATTTATATTTGTTTGTTGTTTAAGAGCGGATAGCTTTGATTTTTTTGCAGCAGGTATTTTTCTCTTGTTTGTGTTAGCTGCTTGCATGTTAGCAACATCAATTGCTGTTACTTTTTTTCCTGATATAACTGATACTTTTTGTCGCTTTTTACGTGGGTGTATATGATCATCACCTCTTGCTTCAACTAAATGCTGAATGAAAGACTCACTGACAAGAGAACCTATTTCCTCGTTTACATTTTCATTTGTAAATGTTCTTTTAGGAAGTCTATCTAACACCTGTTTTCGATCAAGCGGGTATAGTCCAGTTTTTCTAAAACCTGCCTTCATACTTTCACAACCAGGATCTTCAATTTTGTTCATGAGACATTTCAGAATTGATGCAAAATTGGTTTTTTGGAAGAGAAGGAGCTTTATTATTAATATTTTTTTCCATTGAGCTTTCATGGGTCGAAAATATGCAACATCCAATGGCTGCGTCAAATGTGCGTCAATGTTTAACTAAAGTTATTTTGAATAAAGAATGTTGTAAATCTTACAACTATTATGCCATACCCATCCTATATAAATTTGCTATAGGTTACAATATCACAATTTATTTAAATATTAACTGCAGTTGCAACCAACTAACAATTTTGCAGCATACAAAATTTACGACTTTTTTAGACTACAATAAACAAACAAATATTTTATTAAAAAAGTCCGCAAACCGCAACCAGTCTTAGTTATAAATAAACAGAATAACTTTATTTTTATGGTAAAATTGAATTTGGAAATACACGCATAAAAACAAAGTAGTTTGTACAAGTTAAAACTATTTTTTTTAATTTAGCCAAAGTCACCTACCAGGCCAAAGTCACCTCATTTTACGGTACCTTATTAATACAAATTTTTTTTTTAATTATTATAAAACAATAGTTATTTACAACGTTATAAATTTACATTGTCTCTGCTTACTAAATTATCTCCTTTTTACAATATATAAGTTTTGCAAATGTTTTTATAATATATTTTTTAATATATAAATTTTACTACTCGTTTTATATAGACATATGTTTCAATTTTTTTTTTTTTATTTGCATTTTATATTTTTTTGTGTTTTTTGATTTTATATTTTTTTGTGTTTTTTGTTTTTTTTTATATAAGGGCCGTTGTGCGGAAGGAAATCGTATAAGGTTTTGCAAAAGGTAATAAAAATCAATAAAAAGTTATTATTTTTTGAAGAAAAAGTTTTTTATGAAAACAAATAAAAAATTACAGGACGCTAACATTAACTTTACTCTACGAACACTATAGATAACACTTATATGTTAAAATAATATATCATAAAATATGGGCTGGCAGTGATTTTCTAATCATATAAAGCGATAAATTTTGTTGAATAAAATAAAAACAATGGCAGAGAAGAGGAAATCTTAACTACACATGTAGATCTTGCTATGAGCCGATGTTTTATTTTAGCTCATATGTTTAGTTTCAGATTTCCATTCTCTACTTGGCAAAAAACATTCTTAATACAAAAATAATGACAGAAAATGTCCGCAGTGTTTCTACGGACATGATAATTATATTTTAAAATAATAATACTTCTGATGTTCCTGATTATTACCCTGATCACTGCCATTGGGTTAATTTTTATGTTACTAAACATGAGGTGACATCTACTGTTCCATATTGCCCTCATTATGGTTTGAGTGAGGGTCAACAGCAGCTGCGAAGTACGGTTTTTTCCGATAAATTCGCTGTTTCAATCGAGAAAATTGAATTTATTGGAGAAAAATTGTTTTGGGATGTCAAGGAGTTATATAAATTTTCAATATTATCCCATATTTCAACAGAAGAGGACAGTAGGCAAAGATATGAATGTTGTCCTCAATTTTACCACAAGTTTTGCATTTGTTATTTTAAACGATCTGTTGCTTTGTACTTTTGGCTGGTAAGGTCGCAGAAGGTAGACTGTTGTATAAAAAACGAAAGAGGATATTTTGTGTCGGTCCGCATGCGTGGGAGGTAAAATTTTTTTTCCAAATTTGAGTCCACGGCATTGTTATTTTTGTTGAACCGTTTCAAAAAAGTTCTGCTTGCACGACTGCCCTTTTGTTTTTTGTTACTTCTAAGTAAAAAATTATTGTTGATTTTTGGGGGATGTTAAAAAGGGACCTTTTTTTGCCTATTGTTTCAATTGTTGTTTTGTAGTACTGAGACGTTTTGTTGTCCCAGTGTTTTGGAAAACTGTTCTGTTTTAAAAAGTTTCAGCATTGGTTTTAGTTCGTAAACTTTATAAGTGAACTTAATTTATAGTAGTAATCGTGAGTTGTGTCCTCTCCGCATTCTTTCAGTTGAAAGAGTGTTTTGAGGCAAAGTGCAAGACTTTTAATTATAACTATACTAACTATAACTAACAACTATAACTGTATTAACTTATAAATAACTATAACTATATAACTATAACTAGTTAAATTAACTTTTTATATTGACATAGTTATGCAAATGCGTGAGATCAATAAAATACGTCCAAAATCAATAACATGCGTCCCTGTTAGGGATGGGTGTGCACATTATGTTAAGACGGCTTGATACGGCAATGAATATCAATATGCTTAGCAAATAACATAATAAAACAGTTTTAGAAAATTTTGAAAACACATTATCATACTTGCAACTTAAAGTTATAATAGAAAAACTCAAAAAAGTGCAAATCAAAGGGGGCTTTCTAAAAAGGGGTTTTTTAAAATATTTATAATCTACTTCACAATATTTTACCATAAAGTCCATAACAACTGCCTAAATAAGACATAAAGTTTTACCCATTAATTATAGAATAAATTATATCTTTTTGAAAAAAAATATCAATTAGTTTTAATACTAATTTTAAAATGTACATATTAATTTCCGATCATGTAAAATTATCATGTTTTTACTTAAATAATGTTCTTTACTTCTAGTCTTTATTATATTTTTCTCTTTTATCTTTTACATTTTATATTTTAATATGGAATTTTATTTAAAATTTTATTAACAGCAACAACATCATCAACAACAGCAACAACAACAACAACAATAAATCTGCATTGCGTCTTTGCGTTAAAAATGTCACTCTGTATACCTCCCTTTTTTTATTTGTTTTTAAGGCAATTCCGTTGTTGCAACAACAATTTCAAAACAACTTGTTTTTTAAAACGGGGTTTATTTTTAATTGTAACCATACAAACTTAACTACAAACCTACGTGTAACCTCATTAAATGAACTCAAAAAAAAAAAAAAAAAAGCATTTCTGAAAAATAACATTTAGCGCCACAATGACTTAGGCGCGCCAAATGACTTTAGTGTACTTTACTGTTCAACATGATTATTTTTTTCGTCTGTTATAAAATATTAGAAAACCAGCGGTAAATAAAGTTTTAATGTTTAAACAATTTGAAAAAAAAAAAAAAAAAAAAAAAAAAAAAAATATATATATATATATATATATATATATATATATATATATATATATATATATATATATATATATATATATATATATATATATATATATATATATATATATACTATTATTACGCACGTTTTAATTATATCAAAAACAAAAATATATTCTGCTGCATCAAACTTCAACTTACCCACTCAAAAATACTATCTACTCGATTCCTTAACTTTTTAATTTTTAAAAATACTATCTACTCGATTCCTTAAAATATGTTTATTTTACTGCAAGTATCTATATGTTTCCCCAGACGTATGTGCTTACCGTGACTTTTGCTCGCACACAATTCTACAATTAGCAATTTGCGTACACACAAAATTTTGAAACTTTTTGGCGCAATAACGCCAGCTTTTGTAATTGCGCTATAATTACGCAGGTTTGCACCTAAGCAGTTGCTCCAAATAAATAATAATCTACTAACTGTCTATAATTATTTGCCTCTTACACCAATACTTGCCTTAAGTCTCCAATATACATAATAACAACAAACTAGAAATTATTAACTTGATAAATACCAAATCTAAATTTTTTTTTGTGTTTTAACGTTTTAAAAAATCATACAAAAAATATTACTTTAAAAATTTTATCTAAAAAATGGTCATTTAAAAATTTAAAAGAAAACTTAGAAGCAACTATCAAAACGTGATCAAGCGAGACACTTGTAAAACAAAATCACCCATGCATTAACAAACAAACCAGATTGGTTTCTGCTTACTATGTTAATTAATAACATATTGGTTTTTCAAAGAAAAATATGTTATTTTATGGAGAAGGGATTAGATTTTATGTCAGCTGTTACCAGCTATGGAGTTTTTATTTTTAATTTAAGTAGTTTTATCAGTTTCTCTATTTGGAAATGTTCTCTATTGAAAAGTTAGTTATTTTGGGGTTGCTTGGTCATATAACAACTCAAATATTGATTCTGCCTTATAGTGATGAGGCGGAAGATAATGTTTTAGAAACAAACTTAAAAACTTCGCACTCAAACGTCACGAATAATACTCAAATTAAAAATTTATTGACGGACTCAAAAAGAAAATTACTGAATAGAGATTTAGTTAGTACCACGAGTTTTAACAAATCACGAGTTTTAACAAATAATGTCTATTCTGTTGCTCCGGCTTCTACGGTTGCTTTTACTGTAAGGAAATTAAAAAAAAAATTAAATTCGACATTCTTGGAGCATAATAAAGAAAATGCGACTAATAAAACAAGTAAAAAACTAGTAAACATTTCATTTTCTAACAAATCAAAAGCAACAAATCTCTTATCCAACCTTCATAAGTTAAACAAAGATAATGTACGATTTGTGCAAGAAAGAGGAGTTAAAAAAAATTTCTTAGAAAACGCAGTTAACAACCAACCACTTATAGAAGAGATATCATCTTCTGAGAATCACCGTGGTATATTAACAGATGATATTATAAAACAAAAAGTTGCTATGGCAAAAAATATTTTAAATTTAAAATATTTAAAGCATAAATTACAGCCAACTTCTGCAATGATGCAATTGCGCAATTTAGATTCCATGAGCTTTCCGTTTAAAACGGAGGCCGAAAGTGGCACTACAAATGACTCAAATGAAAAGAAAGAAACTATAGATGCAAATATACATAATAAAACAACTAATAGTGATTTAGGAAAAAGTGTTCCTAGATCTGAACAAGTGTATGCTTCTCAAGTTAGTTCTACACTTATGCCACCTTTAAATACAACACCATCACAAGTAGAAACTCAAGTTCCTAACACTACTCCACAACAAGAACCAGTAAACTTTATATCTCAAGATTACGGAAATGTTTTGGTTAGCAGTCCAAAAAATATTACGGAAATTACACCAAAAGTTGAAGATGAAATAAATGATCCGTTTGTGCCTTTGGCGGATATCTTACAAAAAGATGTTTTAACTACATGGGTTTATAAAGACTATATTAAAAGTCCAGCCGATCTAATGCTGGATCAGGGTTTGATTAATCGAGCAAAAATAAGCTTAAGTACAGGAAAAAGATTAAGACAGGTTTTTGAGAAAGCTCTCTCTGGTAAAGAAATACATGTAGCGCTTATAACCAGCGCAGTTACACGAGCATTTGCAAGTGATCCTGCCAGTCAAAAATGGCTTTATCCTAATGCATTAATTGATTGGTGGCAAAAAACAATAACACCTAGTACAAACTCATCTATGATTTATAAAGATGTCTCATTGACAGGAGTTGGCAGAGATTATTTTTCTCGTTGTCTAAAAAATCATTTACCAGATAATGGGGATACCAATCTTGTACTATGGGAACTTTCCGGAAGCGATTATAAGCCACACGGAAAAATAAAGCCTTTAGACGCAATATCTCTGGAGCGACTTTTAAGGAACACATTAGAATTTCGATCTCATCCCGATCTTATTATTTTAAATTTTTTTCGCGGGAACAACTTGAACCATAGCGCTTATTGCAAAGAACTTGACGAAGAAAGTGAAGCTCGTTTAGCCAATCATTATGATTGTACTGCATTAAGTTGGAGTAAATCAATTTGTCCGTATCTAACTGACGACGAAGAAGGTTTTTCTTTTTCTTACTTATTTTCTCGAGATAAGATTCATCCAAGTATTATAGGACATGCTCAAATGGCATATATTTTAATAGATTACATTAGAGACGAGTTCTTGAACTTTTTGCGTGATCCTAAGCCAGTATCTAGATCGTTTCCGTTACCCCCGGCTATATTTACCCAGGTGTTTCACCCATTATGCTTTACAACACTGAAAACTATAAATGCTGTTATAAATGGTGATAGCAACGACTTACCAGTTATTTTTATATCTCCTGATTCACGGGATGAAGCAATACATAGATCTAAAATATCCAGCTTTTCAAATGCTATAGTTCCAATAATAATGAGATTTCAAGTTCTTGATGATAAACTTGAAGATAGAATAATTGGAATTTTAGCATCTTTTTCAAAACCTTTAAAAACTGTTGCAAGATTAGATGATAAACCGTTTGTTTCTCTGCAAGTTAAAGAATATGCTTCCGGAGAAATAATGGAAATAGGTCCTGCTATGCGTCTAAGTAAAGGACCGCATATGTTGAGAATATGGTCTCAAGATAAGACCTTTAAAATTTTAGCTGTTACATTAGATTCAATACATAAACCTGCTTGTTCAAATGGAAGTACTATAATGAATAACATTGGATGTTAATAAAATTAAAAACTCTAGGTTGCTTT